AGTATTTCCTTGTGAATGACGTTTTTGTTGCGCTTTTTTAGCGCATTTTCTCATTTATGGAAAAAAGGCGCTATAGTGCTTGCCATGTCCGTCTGTCTGTCTGTCCGTCCGTCCGTGACTTCACGTTTTCGTCGAAGAGAAAATGTGCTCTCTGTCACTCACTGCAGTGAGTACTGAGTTATATTTTTTATACTATCCCTTAGTGGTCTCAAAGATTTTCTTCTAATTTCGTTTTTTTTTCTCTTCCAACAATGTATTTTAATTTCGCCCTGGTAAATGGACTACAGTAAGAGAAACCTCTTGAAGGTTTTTATGACGCAAGAAAATTTCCCCAGATTTCTTGCAATTTATTAAAAAAATACATTTTACCAGAACATTTTTTGCGTTATTTCCTGTGATCAAATATCGTCAACCAAAAATAATTTTGTAACCTCATTTTCAGTGCATATAATATGAATATTTTCACTACTGAATTGTATAAGGTCTTTTTACTTTTTATTCTTGTATTCCAAAAAATATTTACAATATGTGTCGTAACGAGAGTCACCTGCTCCGAACGATGCGGATAATGGATCTCCGATACTTGAATGCTGGCTGTAAAATCCAGAGACTTATTTCACAAATCCTCAATATTGTGCTTGGTAGTATTAACTTTTTAAATTTCTGCTGATTCTGAAATTAATTTACTATGAAAATATAAAAAAAACTAGAAGAATCCTATCCTTTGAAATTCGTTCCAATATCCTTCATTCGTCTGTATGTGCCGTTTGAATACATTTCCCAGTTCTACTTCCCGAATGTAAGCGTAACGATTTATACCCTTTGAATATAGTGCATATACAGAAGCAGTCACGGCTGGTTTATTATTAAAACCACCGCTGTGTTAAATTGTTTGTCTACTGTACACGACGCGCTAGCTTCACATCCATTCTTTGGCAGCAACGAAGTCTGGGTAGTCTATCGATCATCCTGCACTCGAGTCAACAGGATAACGCTATCTATATTCAGATACATCGGCCATAAAATCTGAAATGTTGTTATACTCCAATTAGCTCGGTCTGGTTAAATTTTAAATGTTATTGGTTGAAAGATTTTGGCTTTCGTTCATGCAGCCATATTGCTGCTATATGCAATCTAATTTCAGTTAGGCTGCCTCTTACTTTTTTTGTTGCTAGCCTTCGCTATCGGCGGTTTCTTTTGTCTCTGTAATCAATGGTGAAAATTCAGTCAAGGCTTAACGGTGTTTTCATCGACCGCCCTAGAATGTATTGATTGCTCTTGATTGTCGTTACCATCGTTCACCATTTCTGTCTCTGAGTTTCTTTTTTTAGGTCAGCGCTTACCTTAGGGTGCGCACACAGTGAAAGCAGGTTTGCCCGCGCGGGCAACCTGCTCCAACCTGCCACAAGAATGAACATAGGATAATAATGTAAGTGTTCACAGTGGAAACCTGTACGAATAGGCTTCTGTATTCTAAGGTTTCAGGTGCCAGCCTGAGCAGGTAACCAGCACGCTGGCAACCTGCTTTCACTGTGTGCGTACCCTTCCACTAGATCAACAGCCTCCTACAACCTGTCATCAGCTTTACGTATTCGAAGAAATGTTTAACATTTTCTCGTATTTAATTCAGTGGTCAAGGTGTCAACTGCGATAATGTCAAATATATACTTTTTGGGGTTCGTTGCATTCATCCCGTTGTTCAAAATTATCCCCGGGCACACATTTGTGTATTTTTTAATAACTCGTTTGGTTTATTCGCTCGAACTACTCAGAGCGTGGTCATACTTTTCTGGTTAAGCTATACCTGCCTGTTTGCTGTTTTTTCTTGAACGCATCACCTTACATTTTTTCCTACATTTCTTGAATTATTTGATAATTCAACTTGGAACAACTTGCTTTATCTCTCACACTGTTGTGGTACGCGTTTTCATCCCAGGCTTTGAGGATCTTAGGGCTTTTTGATAGCAACATGTTTTGATAGCCCTCCACTGTAGGGTATTTATTAAATTATTTATTCTCTTATATATGTTATACATTTTCTCTAATCTTAACGATCGACTAAAATTCTATTTTATTTCATTCAACTCTGATAAAGGCCTAATTTAGAACTAAACCTTGCGCATTTTGAGGAGGGCTTACTAATTTTTGTGCTTTTTGTCAACTTGCACTTTCTTTCGAAGGGATAATCTGTTTATCATTATACTCTCTTTAGTTTCTCAGCCGTCTGGGAATTGTTTGATGCTACTTTTTGTTGGTTAGGTCCTTACCATGTGAAGTTTTTAGCAAACAATGCCATTTTGTAAATTTTAAAAGGGTGTGACATATATTTCGGAATCGGCCTTGAGAATGCGAGCCTCGCACAGCCCGTCAGGGTTTAAATGTCTTCGACACGCCTCGGCTACATCATTAAATAATCATCACATTGATGTACTTCTGCTTGAGACCCACCATATATCGAGTGCAGCATGCCATTTATCATTTGTTTTTACATTAATTTTTGTTATGATTGCTCCTAAGTTGTAGAGTCTCTTAGCTTCTGAACGTCCCGCATATCTCTGCTGCTATTCATTAAGCCATTTCAGATTTTTGCACGCTTTGAATGTTTGGTGGTACATGTTCAACATTTTTTTTCATGCAATCTCGAACAGCCCTTTGTTCTTTTTTGCCCTTCTGCTAATTGTTTCATTTTACGTCACTTATTGGTAATTCACCCTACCACATCCCTTTATGTTGTTCTCTATATGCTCTTCTTCTAAGTAAACATTTCTTCGAGTAATTGGTCATTCAATCTTGTGTAGCAGCCCCTGCGTTCTTGCAGAGACAGCCCAATATTTGGTAACACATCGCACTATTTTCTGGTTTGGAGGCGCGCAGTCTGATACACTGGCAGTTATTTAGTGGCGAGTGGACCTATTAGGGCTTATAGTGGCCGCCTGCGTGGGCGTGTCGTGCCAGTAAGTGAAATGTGTGGCACGTTCTCCGTAGAATTATTGCTCGTCGCGCGGTCTTGTCATGCTATGTGGTTTTTCATGTCATTTTCATTTCTTAGGGTCAGTGTATTGCGAGTTTGTTTTTTCGCATGCAATATATTTTATTAGTTCATACCAAGTCACCACGAAGAATATTTGAATTGTGATTGTTTGATTTGATTTATGTACCTTTCCTAACAATTTAATAATATTTTAAGAAAGCTATTATCTTGCTTTCCCCACTTCTAGATTGATTCTAGAAATTCTCTACGTTTGATTTTATTTTTAAGCCTATTCTGTTGCCGTCTGCAAGCCTGCATGTCGTCAAATTTCAACCAATATTTGTTTATATATTCTGTTGTCAAGCCGCCTTGCGTTACGCCAAGGAAAGTCTGGTTTACATCTTAGCACTCGAGTGAAGTCCGGTGGGTCGTCAGTAATGCATGCTGTATAATGTCATCAGTAATGTATTCTCTAGAAGACTGCACCTCTTGGTGCACCGCCTCACATTCTAGTAACGCTTGCAGCTTCAGCAACATATGCCTCTTTGTCTCGTGCGCTGCAGGATGCGTGTCTCATTCATATAAGGCTTGTCTTGTCGTTCGTCCATAACGGAACAATCAACTGTATCAAGATGTATTTTTCCATGATTTAAAGTCGGGCGTTGTTTTAAGTAAATGTTTTAAGTAACTGTTTTAAGTAATCGAGCGTTATATTCTAAGTAATTTTTAGTTGAAAAATTGTAACCCTATGTCGGTCCTGTTCTCCTTAATTTTTCTCTAACGGAGAATTTGTTTCGGAACCTCCAAAATTTTTAACCGCGTTTCCCTATCACTTTTTTCTTTGTTTCTCACATACTGATTTTTTCTTAATTGCCCGTTTTTCTTTTCATCCAATGCTTCATAATTTGGTCCATAATGAAAAGTCTGTTTTTCTAGTGAAAAAAAAAGAACGTTCGAGACATTTTTTCTAATTAGTTTTATAAAACGTGCACTACGAAATTGCTTGACATGTGTAAATTGAATTCGGTTAACAGTCACATTTTATGAGCTCGGGAACCGTATTGGATCAAGTCACCTGGAATCTGACGGTGAAATAACTTTGATGAAGCAATTTCAACGAAATGAACTGTACGGTATCTGTCACGAGCTCAACGAAATGAACTCGTGACGTTGTTTTAACGTCATTTTTCTAGAAAGTTTAGTTTGTTTGATTGCTTCCATTGTAATGTTTCACCGTCCTTGGCATCCTTCTGTTTGTACTCTACATCTCAGACGGGTTCGTTAGATTTAATTTACGTTCTATCGGTCAATTTACATATTAGACTTATAAAGGTCAGTTATACACTCTCAATTCCGCTCGAAGTTTACGGAGGACCGTATTAATTAGGCCTTGTTCCTTAATTATTTAAACAGTTAGTCGTCACGTTGAATAATCTGCTGCACTAAGCTTACCAATGGTATATTTTGTTTTGGGAGAAACTACCTGTTAGTTCCGTTCCAGTAATTTTAAAAGCTTCGTTTACTAATAGTCATTTCCTAAAATACTGATTTCAATAACTAATATTTTCCCCATTCTTAAATTACGGAATCATTACTTCAAGTCAAGTCGTTTTATTTTTAAACTATTGTTAATTGGTTATTTTTAGTATGTTTTGCGGCACACATAAATTGTTTCTCTTCACCAACAATCTCTTGTTGGCTTAGCATGATCCATTAGTAAATTTACATTTCAGTGCATATTCAACGAAATCAGAAATATATATTCTGATTCAGGTTCATCACATCTAATTCATTATTTATTAATTAATTTTCTTATTTAATAATTTTCGATGTAACTGTCATAAATTAATGTTGTATAAACTTGTAGTATTTTTTCTGTATGCCTAAAAAACTACTCCGACTGTTTAGTGAATGTAAATAAAATCAAAACCGTTTATCAAATTCGTCATAAATTAATTAACGTAGATTCCGTGTTTACTTCAAATGATTATTTTGTGGTGCGAGCATTATTTTCCCGTTTGTCTTACAGAACTACAACAAGGATTCTGTTGAGTTCGTTCAGCAGCACCTCACAAAGAACGAGGTCCCCACCGACCTCTTCGAGGTAAGTTCTCCGAGCTCATTTCATAAAATTTTTTTAAAAAGTAGGACTTTTAAATGTGGTCGTTTGTTCGCCGGTCCCTCTCAATTTGTTCTCCTAGTAGACAATTTAACTTTCCGGCGTAGAAATCCAGTCTCAAAAAATATATGAACATTCCAAATATTGCTCCTTGTATTTTTCCTTGTAGAATTTTTCGTTTTGTGTATCAGATAATCACGTTAGGTTGCGACCTGAAAAAATATTTTTTGGTACCCTTAATTTTTTCCCGGAATTTCCTGTTCCCGTTCATTCTTCAGAAATAAGAACCCCAATTAAAGCTTCCAAGTGAGCAAGACATTAATGTCGCTTTTTAACTCGAGAGGAAAGTGTAATAAAGAATATTCTTTTATTTTCTTCTTCGTTGTAGAATGGGAATAGCATTGCTGTAGCAAGCTTTTGTTTCGTATTACAACCGATCGCTGCACGCTTCAGTCAGTCCCCGGCTGCTATACTCTTTGTGCGCATACCTGGATCCGAAAAGAAATACGTTACAAGATCAATGTAATTAATGGCGATAAATAACTCGCATTCAAGTACTCTGGCAAATATCCGTGAAGTTTTTTGCGTCACCTTAAACTTTTTTAAGTGTTGAACGTATTGATATTTAATCAATAGAAACATGAGTGTTTGTACTGTTTGTTACCAGAACAGTTTGTTTTAGTCTTCTCCTGTTCTTCCGTCTGTGTTAGATACGAAGTAGTCTGCTATTCAAGTTATTCATTTATACACTATGTTTTTATGATTTATCGAGCATTGTTTCGTTACTTGAAGTATAGCTTTTCCATTTTTAGGGCACATAGAATCCCCCAAGAAGACAACGATGTCGACATGGACAATAAAAATAAAAGTTAAAACAATCAATTTTCTGGTGACGATTATGTATAGAAATCTGTATAGAAAAGTTACACGACTATTCTTTGTTCGCTTCTTTATTCTTCGCATTGCCTGTCTCTTCCTCTGTAGTTGATATTTTTCAACTAATTCATCTCCCAAAGATAAAACTTATCTTACTTAATTATTACTCAAGATAACAATCAATCATTGTCCTTTACTTTTCAGCCGTACATTGAAGAAATCCTCATGACTTTGCGTGGAGAGCTCTTCGATCGTTTCGTTGAAAGGTGAGATTATGTAAGAAATTCTCATCGTTGAAAGGTGAGATTAAGTAAGAAATTCTCATCGTTGAAAGGTGAGATTAAGTAAGAAATTCTCATCGTTGAAAGGTGAGATTATGTAAGAAATTCTCAGCAGCGCTAGAACGAAATGCGACAAGTGTTGCTGTGCTGGAACATATCGCCTGCAGCCAGGGCATTGTAGTGCGCTATCTTCTGACGCTGCGGATGCCGTCTTTTGCAGGCTCTTTCCGCCATACCTTCTTTATACGGAGAGTGCGACAAGGCACGTTTCCCTTGCTGGCTCTGCTGCCGAGTCACGAAGCTTAACAATCGTGATGCCAAGTACCTCCCTGGAAAAATCTGAAGGCAATATCCGAAATTGGAGATTTTTTTTGGTTGTGGTTCTCAATGTTTTAATTCCTAACTAGTTTGTCAATGATTTTTTCTAGATGGAATTGGGACATTTTTTATGTTTATTTGCGCTAACGTACACTCAAGTTAGATTTACATGAATAATCAATAAAGTCGATGGTAAATTTTGTGATACTCGCATTTGGATTCGTAGTTACTTAAAGTAATTTGATATTTTTCATAATTTTATTATGCTCTCTTTACTTGTTTGGTTCTCTTTGCTTGCTTCCAAGGCTAAATCTTGTTCACGATTTTATTATTCATAAGTTTAATCTAACCTCCAGGAAACCCATATGCTGATCATTCCAAAATCCCGTAATTAGAATGGAACTTAAGTTTCCTCTAGCGGTCAAAAGCGAGCCCTCTCTTCTCATTATTATTTTAAATTGGTGTAGTTGCGGCGACTGAAAGTGGCTTATTAGCTGGAGATGCCAGAAAAATATAATCTGGACATTTATATAATCCACCTTTTAGCTACGGATCGAGATCCCCGAAAAATTCACATTGCTGCAAATGCAAAGGTCTATGTAACTCAACTTCTCTCCCCTCATTCCCTACTCGGCATTGCTTTTCTTTCAGTTTCTGTAGACTTCTTTGATATTGCAAAGCAAAAGCGTTCTATTTAGATATAAGAACTGTCAGAAGCAGATCTCTGAGCCGCGAGTTTCCTGTGACATTTTACCAGATTTTATCGTCCGAAATTCCATAAAACATCCGCAATTTTTTCTTTGACACTCGCGTCGTGCAATGAACTCGAATTTGGACCCAAGTATGAAAAATGGTGTCTAATGCAAATGCCTGGGATAATAAAAGTTTTCTCGTTTTCAAGAGAGTTGAGAAAACTGAGTTAGACTCATAAAAAACGTCGACGCGAGGCCTTGGCGACTTTCAGATTTTCTCAGCAGAAAAATATCGTTATTTCGTCAGTAGGAATCTAGTTAGGACGAGAGTCGGGAATTTATTTATGCCTTTAAACTGCCCTTGAATGCCTTAGTATCAAATTTCCCTTGCATACGAACTTATAGCGCCAAAAATTTTTTTACTGCAATGCGGCCTAATGCAAGTTCATGCCTCCGTATCCATTTATTTCAAACTCTTAACGGAAAAAGTGTAACGATAGTGTGATTTTAAATGAAAACAATTGTATTATCCAGAACAAGAATTTTCTTCAAAGTTGTAACGGTCGTATGGACTCTATTATAAGTCTCTATTCAAGTAAAGTTCAAACGTGCGTTCATACGGGTGTTCCGGATTAATAATGATAATATAATTATAATTCCTGGAAGAACGTCATTGAAATTTTAGTTATCCAAACAATATTTAAATAACTCTTCCCTGGTATATATTATGTTGTATAAAACGAGTTCAGAAATTTCTGCTGTAAGTAATAATTGCCGTATAAATTTGATGTACCAATTCTCTATTTTTGTATCAGCCTGCAATCGACTTGTTTGTGTGTGCTTGACCTGTCTCTTATACACATCTAGATGTGTATAAGAGACAGTGTAATGAGTGACGTCACTGTGGCTCACTAGCTAGTGTCCGTTGTAATGAGTGACGTCACTGTGCCTCACTAGCTAGTGTGTTCTAATAAGTAGTGTCACTGTAGCTCACTAGCTAGTGTGTTCTAATAAGTAGTGTCACTGTAGCTCACTAGTTATTGTCTGTTATAATAAGTAGAGTCACTGTAGCTCACTAGCTAGTGTCTGTTATAATAAGTAGCGTCACTGTGCCTCACTAGCTAGTGTATGTTATAATGTAGCGTCACTGTAGCACACTAGCTAGTGTCTGTTATAATAAGTAGTGTCACTGTAGCTCACTAGCTAGTGTCTGTTATAATAAGTAGCGTCACTGTAGCTCACTAGCTAGTGTCTGTTATAATAAGTAGTGTCACTGTAGCTCACTAGCTTGTGTGATGTAACGGTCCTCATTTAGCAGTGTTTGATGAGAGGTCGGACTCTTTGCCTGCCTCCCAATTTGGGCGTGAGAGGGAACTGTGTCAACGGCCTCGCTTTCTTATTCATTTCTGGCTAGCTTTATTAATGGTCCGGGGAGGCGTGATGTGTTATGTGTCTAAAATTTTATTGCGAAAGTATATTTATTTTTTATTGCATAGCTACCAGATGGAATATAATTGTTTTTGCTATCATAGAACATTCAACGCGTGCAATTTCACTTTCTACCTTGAAGACAATTTCGACTTCTATGTTTTTTATTTCATGTCTGGGATCATGGGAGAGGAAAATTCTCGCTGACGCTCATTTACCGTGACGCGAATGTGTCGAGTCGAGTCGAGTTTCTTACGCTCTTAAAACCCACGTCGCAAAAGTTAACGCGAAGTTAACTCGACGCATTTTTATTATGTGCATGCAAGTACCGGCGCTCCTAGTTTCTTTAACTTCGGCATTTATTGCTGCGAAGAATTTACTCCTATTTACTGGCAATAAAACATCGTCTCAGAAATATTATTCTATTTGGAATTTTCCTGGATAATCCCTGCATAATCATGATGTCATATTTTGTACATTTATAAAATTGTTATAGTAGTGCGTAAAAACAATACTTTCTTATTCTAGGTATGGTGAAGAACTGAATGCGGGAGAATAGTCTGGCCAGCTAAAATAATAATCCAAAAGATTTATGTAGTGCAACTAATTCTCTCGATTGCGCGCTTGCTTTTCTGTGTGCAAATGAATGTCCGAATTCATTATGTTCCACTTTATTTTTAGTGAGAGGGAAAGTTTATATTTGTTCTTATTTTTCTGTTTATTCTATTTCATTATTTACTGACACTTTATTCTTTTTCCAACAGTGAAAAGTACACCAGATTTTGTCAATGGAAAAACTTGGAGCTCAATATTCAGGTTAGTAATGGTTTTTGTCGATATATTTGTAGTCATGCTTGTTATTATTCCTTAGGAAGCTCAATATTCACGATAGTATTAAGTCCTTGTTATCTTGGCTAATTTGGATTATATCATTGTTACATATGTTATACTTATAAACACACTTGCATCTTAATTGCTGCATTAAGGAAATATTGGAAGTGTAGTTTGCGTTTTTGCAGACTGGTAGAATACAATTTAATTGATATGGTAATGTCATTACAGTTAACAATGAACGACTTTAGCGTCCAATTGCATCTTATTTGCTGCATTAGGGAAATATTGGAAGTGTAGTTTGCGTTTTTGCAGACTGGTAGAATACAATTTAATTGATATGGTAATGCCATTACAGTTAACAATGAACGACTTTAGCCTGGTAGAATACAATTTAATTGATATGGTAATGCCATTACAGTTAACAATGAACGACTTTAGCGTACATCGCATCATCGGGCGTGGAGGCTTCGGTGAGGTGTACGGCTGTCGGAAGGCTGACACTGGCAAGATGTATGCAATGAAGTGTCTTGATAAGAAGAGGATCAAAATGAAGCAAGGAGAGACACTTGCTCTCAATGAGAGGATAATGCTGAGTCTCGTCAGCACTGGCGTGAGTGCGGCTTAGGTTTCTCCTTTCAAACTAACAATATGCCCAGCCCTAGACTGCATGAACGTTACTTATTATTATCTTAGTAACTTCTAATTTTAATTTTGGCTTATCACAAATATTGCATTGAATTTGAGATCATCCGTCATAATTTTTACTTCATTTGTAGTGCCTCAGTCACGATAGGAATGTAGTGACATTCGTATCTTATGCTTGCTCAAAACTATTACATTCATTCCATTTTCTAAGGTGACCCAGCGTAGAGCAACTTGACTGCGGGTTTAGTTTGTTGGATTGATGTTATGTTGGCAGGATCTATCGCACTTTCTTTCTATGTGTTGCTCATGCGGGCCGGCTGACGTCATGTGCAAGCTATAACTTTCACATGCGTCGTCTTTTCTATTACTCTTGTTTGTTTCAATTGGATCACATTTAAATACTGACACAACTCTCGAGGTTACCGACACTATTTGGCTTTGAATAACAACGTACGTTACCACTGCCCTAAAGTTACTTTGTCCCACCATGTTTGATTATGTACGTTCATGTTACTTACTTTGTCCCACCATATTTAATTATGTACGTTTGTGTTCAGGTGGACTGTCCATTCATCGTATGCATGACTTACGCGTTTCACACTCCCGACAAGCTGTGCTTCATCTTGGACCTGATGAACGGCGGTGACCTCCACTACCACCTCTCCCAACACGGTGTATTCGACGAGAACGAAATGAAGTTCTACGCTGCCGAAGTCACTCTAGGTAATTTATAGTGAAAATATGTCTCTGTTAGTTGAATTGGGTATAGATTATGATGCATGTGATCAAAACTAACAAAATCTATTGCTCGTGACTTCTTTTTTTTGTAATAGACACTAAATTGTATTAGTGCTCTATTTGCGCAGTGTCTTCTCTTACCGCCATTTTTGTCATTCTTAAATATTCACATGGTGTACTTCGAATAGTGAATTAGTAATTTCACAAACAAGTTGAAGTACAAACCATCTACTATTGATCCTATTTGGATCATTTTAATCGGAAACGAAATTCGAAATAGGACAGTCCTTGAATATACTATCTACTTAATCATTTGATAAAAACAATATGTAAATATTTAGTATGACCTAAAAATAGTATGCTTCTTGTATACCGTTCCCTCGCTCTTGTGCATGCTTTAAATTCATAACGCGTCGCCAAGTTTCCGACGCCTACCGACGAATCGATGTTGCAATTTGCGTTGACGGGTCGCACTCTTGCAGGCCTGGAACACATGCACCGACGCTACATCGTTTACCGGGACTTGAAGCCCGCGAATATCCTGCTGGACGAGCACGGCCACGTCCGGATATCTGATCTCGGCCTCGCCTGTGACTTCTCAACTAAGAAGCCGCATGCTTCTGTGTACGATACTTGCTGGTCTTCCATCTCTACTTTTACTTGCAACATGAATTAATTATTCAGCATGTTTAACTTAAGAATTTTTGACGTCACTTAACATGTTTTTACAAGAGCAAATAATGTGTTATGTATTGCCATAATTTTATTTATAAAATGTTCACATTATGCCAACTTATTTTTTTACATTTAATGTGATACGTTATATAAATTTTTTAATTTTCATTATCTCTATTCACTTTCATGGTTTAATTTTATGCAGCACTATTAGAAAAAAAAAGAAGTACAGCAACTCTATGATTTTGAATATTTTAATTTATGTTCATAGTAAAAAAGTGCAGCAACTCTATGATTTAGAATATTTTCATTTATGTTAATAGTTTAAGCTTCTGTGCAGAGGCACCCACGGCTACATGGCGCCAGAGGTGCTCAGCAAAGGCACGGCGTACGACAGCTCCGCGGACTGGTTCTCGTTCGGCTGTATGCTCTACAAGTTACTTAAAGGCCACTCACCTTTCCGGCAACACAAGACTAGGGATAAGCATGAAATTGACCGCATGACTTTAACCATGGTGAGTTTAGTTGGTTTTTGCTTATGTGAAATTAGTATTTAAAAAATAATTATTTCAGAACTATCTGATACAGTTTCGAAACTGACATTTTTAAAGCATTGTCCTAGCTTGTAGTCTGTCTGATAATTTTGAAATCTAATCCATTGGCAGTTCTCCTATTAATGTAATCTGTCGTACACTCTATTAATGTAATTTGTCGTACCCTCTGCAGAACGTAGAACTGCCCGACACGTTCACCAACGAGCTGAGGTCGTTACTGGAGAGCCTCTTACACCGCGACGTCGACAAGAGACTAGGATGCCGTGGCAGAGGGTGTGTCAATGATAGATAGAATTAAATTCCTTCGTAGCAAGTGTGAAGTTCTTATTAGGTTCATAGATTAGATATAATTTCTGAGAAAAGATTTCGAGCGTTAACTTACTGCAAACATTATTTTTAATATTTTTGGTGTTGTTTATTCCGCTGAGATACCATGTATTTTACGTTTGTCTTATTCGAATTCAAATTGTTTGGCGATTGTTTGTGCAATTATATGGACAAAAGAGTTTTATGGTAACAAATTCATTACTTTCTATTTATTTGATAAAAAAACAATTGTAGTTATAACACATACCTCTTTTACTTGGTCATTTAAATTCTTTGTCGGTTGTCTTTTTAATGGTGACTAAATGGCCGATCTAATACCTGATCAGTCATAACATTATTCAATTGTAGCTAAATCATCGATTGATTTGTGGTATATTTTTAATAGTATATCAATTGATTAATTTACATGTTCTAACTGATCGGTTACTCGACAGAGCGGACGAGATCAAAGAGCACGCATTCTTCCGGAGCTTAGACTGGCAGCAGGTGTACGTGCAGCAATACCCGCCGCCTCTCATACCCCCCAGAGGCGAGGTCAATGCTGCTGATGCTTTCGACATCGGCTCCTTTGACGAAGAAGATACCAAGGGCATTAAAGTATGGCTTTACCGCTCACTGTGGTTCTCTTGTGGTATTGAGATTGCAATCAATTGCGATTGCGCTCGATTGCTGTTAGTCTTTGTTCATGTTTTTTTTTTATATTTTGTTTTTTTTTTTTAGTTTTTTGTTATTTTGTTTATTTTATTTTTTTTACTTTCTCGATATCAATTAGGTTCTGTTTTGCTGTATCTTTGTTGTGCTTAGTTTTCTGTTCTTAGATTTCACCTTTTGTTTTTCTTAATTTGGTCTTTCTCTTTATATTATTATTTAAAGTGAGAGAAAGGAATTACTTTGTGTACATGCTAGGTGAATTTTCGTGCAGTTGACGGAGGCAGATCAGGCGCTCTACCAGAATTTCCCGCTGGTGATCAGCGAGCGCTGGCAGACCGAGGTGGCGGAGACTGTGTTCGAGGCCATCAACCAGGAGGCCGACAAACATGAGCTCAAGAAGAAAGCCAAGCATAAACATAAGTTCGACACCGACGAAAAAGGTCAGAATATTGTATTGAACCTTCCTCTTCTCGTACCTTCCTCTTCTCGTACCTTCCTCTTCTCGTACCTTCCTCTTCTCGTGCCTTCCTCTTCTCGTACCTTCCTCTTCTCGTGCCTTCCTCTTCTCGTGCCTTCCTCTTCTCGTGCCTTCCTCTTCCCGTACCTTCCTCTTCTTGTTTACTCCAGTACGGTAGAAAGGCTGGAAGCTTGAAACAAAAATGAGGTTAACAGTACGAATTCACTATTTGATTTGTTGTAATTTTTCTTTAAATATACAATCAAAAGTCGAAAACTTTAGATGATTAAAAAGCAAGTTTATTATTCAGCGTATATGAAATTTATTTCGAATTTATCATTTGATCAGTTTTTTGCTAGATCTCATGTGAATGTAATTGTAATTGGAAAATTTCTTTTATTTAAGTGATTAGTAATGTAATTTTTCATTTGTCCACCAAATCAGAATCGGATTGCATCATTCATGGATATATCAAGAAGCTGGGCGGGCCTTTCACATCGGCGTGGCAAACACGCTACGCAAAACTCTACCCTAACAGGGTTGAGCTTCATGCTGATTCAGGGTCCGGAAAACCTGAACTTATTTTCATGGACCAGCTGGAGGAAGTATCGTCCGATCTGGTGCAGTACAAAGGAGAAAACTGCATCGTGCTCAAAACCAAAGATAATAAGATCGTCCTCACAAACCCTGTAAGAAATGCTCTCGTGCTTACCAATTCAGAGCATTTTAATTGTTGTGAGAAAGTAGTTTCGTGTGAACTAAGGCATTTAAATTGTGTCATGCAGTTCTCTGCCTTTTTATTTATTTCTAAGCTTTATCAAGCTGCTGACATCGAGGTCCTCGTCGCTATGCACGTTGATGGCATCAGGTAGAAATAAGCCTATGAGATGTGAAATAAACGTGTGAAGTGTAGTGAAACGAGCATGTGGGTCGTGCAATAATTTATTGCCTGTAAATATTTTCCTTGTGCTCCGCTTGCGAAGTGTTCATTCGCTGCCGTGTCATCGGAAGTATGCCTGAGCTTGCAATGCAGTCCTTGACTACACGAATAGAACCCAAACTAGTGGTCTTCATGCTGTTTCAAGACTACACAAGCATTGTGAAATTGCTAATTCTCGCGTGTTTTTGTCCAGTATTTTGACGTGGTTGTATATTTCAGGACGAGATCGGTCTAAAGGAGTGGGCCAACTCGCTAAGAACGGCGCACAAGATGTCCCTGGAACTGTTGAGTAACATGGCCCGCAAAGCTGGAAAAATTTACGGTGCTGCTTCTGATGCCCCGGTGCCCGCATGTCCAGGAGCAGCTGCAGCGGGTGCTCATAAGGCGCCGCTACTTACTAGGAACGGTAATTGAGTGCAATGTATTAAGATCATTTAATCGCTGCTTAAATCGCAAGCTAACTCAGAATTTGAAGCAGAAAACCGCCACAAAATTCAGCATATTTTCATTGACAATACGTCGTATAGTTCCATCATCAGTTCTGCAATAGTTCAACAAAAATCTGGTGAATCTTCGTGTCGTTTTATTTATTTTTTAATACTTACTTGAAACTCTTCACAGTCTGACGCACTTCTTCATGGGATAAAAGTTTCTTGCTAGATACATACTCACCCGAAAGCCATGTTTTCACTGTGAAAGTTCAAGACAATTTTTGGAAACGAGCATTCGAATTCTCGCCTTATTTACCAAAAAATATGAGCCAATGTTGTGAAGAAACTGTCTCTGAGGGCTGCCCTTGTGGTCTCTAATGTATTTGTTTTTAGGGCAAAAACTTGGCTAACGGCGTGCAGTTTTTCCGGTGCTGACAAAAGGCTCGAGTTCGTGCATATTTAATCTCAAAATATTTACGGCTATTCGCAGTTCATTACATTGACGTTGCGCTACAAAAGAGTCATCGCTCATTTTGCTTGTCAACTGACCTTCAAAAGACATTATTCCTTAACCCTCTACCGCCATATGTCACTCTCCGGGAACATATTTTTTAACTTGAATTATACGTAAACTATTGAGTGTAGCAACTTGAGGACCTTTGTACGCAACAGAGAACATTTTAAAGTTGTCATACGTGGCATCAGTGCAAGTCATTTTGCGCTTACTAGAACGTATCCTTTTTAGGAAGTAGGCTTGTGACAATATTGCTCCGGTTACTCATGTCAGGCGGTAGAGGGTTATCGAAAATTACGTCAGAATGTTCTTACCAGCATTAGAACCTCATTTTTTGTAGTTTATTTGAGCACGTGCATGCATGTGATTTTCTTCCAGTTATGAAGCCCTAGCTAGTCTTTTATTTTCATTTCTTGCGGGTAAATTTTTTGCGCTTGTGTCCTTGCTTTAAAAAAATATGATATAATTTGTTTAAACAGAGACAGCAATATTTCCGGTCTATTGAAATATTTCTTTCAACTGAACATTCTTTTTTGCATTTATTAATTAATTTAAGAATATCATGCACGTTGTCTTATCGATTGACGTTCAATTATTACGAAAGCTTTTATTATTTTGCCTACTATGAGCGATAGCGTCATCGTGCATTTCATTATCGATCATCAACCAATTGATAATTTGTTAATAAGGACTATTTTGTTAATAGTCACGCATAAGATCAAAGTTGTTTCAGCATGGGTGGCACACGAGTAACCTTTAACTAGAATTCAATATAGTGTCTTTATCTTTTAAGTTTGGTGATCAAATGATGGAACGTTTGTTTTAGTAACTCAATAATTCGACTAATAAGATGCAAATTACACAGCGTTTCCGCTCTAGAGATTTCGACTAAAACTTTAAATTTATAATGATCGTGTATGTGTTAAAGTACTACAACTTGTTACGACACACACTAGCTAATTTGTGTTCAATTGCACGCGAGATGATTCCTTTAGTTGGCTTTCGTGGTACAATAACAGCCTTCAATTTGGATTACAATGCTTTTAATCTCGGGTGTAATCTTATTGATGAACTGGAAGCTTTTTTGTGGATAAAATAACAATTGTGGAAAACTGAAAGCGTGGTTAGAATTGAGCGAGTTTACTTGTAGAGTTCTTCAACTTTATGATGGAAGATATTCTATTGCAATAAGACCTTGAATAGAAAAAGACTGATCGCTTATTGTTACTTGCTAAATATATTTAAATTATAAGATGGTAGGTACTCAATGGTGGATATGAGCGATGTTTGTTTGCTCTAGGAGCGTATTTTGAAGTATGCTTCATTTCCATAAGTGAGTATTTTTGTTTGAATATTCGGGCTGCATCGATTCAGTTTGGGCATGAAATTAATTAAGGTAGGCGTATTTCATTTTCGGTCGCTGGTGTGATATTTTATGAACTTATCTTTAATATCTTCCTGATTAAAATTAGGTTTATATTGAAAAATTGAAACCGTGTTAGCAACGGATTACAATTTAATATACTCATCAATTTGGCGACATTGATTTATATTCCCCACTTGTAATGCATTTGTAGAAGCTCGTATATCACTAATTCCGCTGTACACTTTCCAGAAGCCCCTGAGTCAGTTTATATAGTGGACTTCTAAGACGCTTGTTACTAGTGTATTTTCTCGAGCAAGGGATTTTTGTACATAGACGTCAACCACTTTATTTAAAGTTGTAAACACGGATTTTTTTCACGAAATGTCATTAAACAGCCAAGCTTTCCATTACTTAATATGTCCTCTAGCTTGCGATGCCTGTCCGTATCGAGAGGTGCTACAGGATGTTGCTTCGCGTTGCACGGGCATAGCAAGCGATACACGGTGTTTCTCAGTTCCATTAAAAGCCTTGTAAATAATAAGTTTAGTTCTCCATCCTCTTTACTTGGTTATAGATTATTATTGTTGCGATGGAATACGGACTGATAATGGTTCGATTTGTAAGGTGGTTCATAGTTGTGCAAATTGAATATGTTCTAGGAGAATGAAATACCATTGTATCATTTACGTGTATTTAGAAAAATCATTAGAGCGTGTGGTGTTTGAACTCCCTGGAGGTTCTCTGATGCATATACTATCGACAGCCATGTTTTAGCTTGATGTGCAATAGCGAATTAGATAGCTTCTCACGATGGTTACTCTTCTTGAGCTCAATCTTGCATACTCAAGACAATGCAAACTGCGCCCATTTTATTATACTGCCTTGTACTGGTATATTTGTCTACTCCTGCATTGTTGATATCTCTGAAATTCGTACTTTATAGTTTGTATGCATTGTTTTACGCTGTCGCTTCGATATTGGACCTGATATTTATTAGTGATTTAAGCGTGTGTTGAGAGCACTTGACTTAGCCTCTTGTGAGCACTTAGGTCTTATAGGACCCCTTTAAGGATTTTGATTTATTTATTTTGTTAGAATCAGACGGGCGACCAATTTTTGAAGTTTTTTTATCTGCCCATTCGGGTTGAGAGAAATATTTGAAAGATTCGGTCTATTCTTGAGACTCCACAGTATTTATCTCGTTGAGTGAGCACTTAATAAAGAGAGCTCTGGGACCTTTATATTCTATTTATCTGTGCTGGGTTTGTCTCATATGCTGCTTGATGAATTAAACTGACTAATAGAAGGATTGTATGTATATGCTGATCTTATTCCTCACGCTTAACTTGATTAAAAGTTCTGTATGAAGTTTTAGTTTGTAAAAACGCGTTATCAAGATGCTTATGAAGAAATTCTTTCTTGTTCTAGGGAATCAGTGCATTGAGTTGAAAAAACATCCAATATTCGTTCATGCCCGAACTTGAAGAAGCCGAGAAAAGTATTGACTTCGCATATTGGAAAGTTGGACAGAATGACAATACTTTTTTCAATCGGTCTGCAAGGCTGCATTTTCGAAGTAAAACTATGGATGCAACGTGAATTACTTATTTTAAATGAAGGCTAGAAATCTTTAGGTGTATGCGAGTTGAATTATAATATAAATAATATATACATTTTCTTTTGGAAGATACTTTATACTTGTGAATGCGGCCCCACCACATTAGATGGAAGGAATTATTTGGTGCTAAATTTCTATAAAGTTTACTGGAGAATTAGAACGGCGGCCACAGCTGCATTAGAATTGAATTCTCCCTCTTACGGTTAGGCTCCCAGTTTTTTTTTGATCGTTTGGGTAATTTCTTTCTGGGACAAGGAAATGGTAAAGTATTATTGAAAATGAGATAGGTTATTATTGCTGGTTCGTTAGAGTAGGGTCAGAAACTATTTGTAGTGATGCACAGTCTAAATTTTTTAATCCTTTCGTTATTCTAAATTAAGCGTTTTTTCGTAAATTTAGAAGGTTGACAATTTCTTGGGTTGGGAGTCGACCGAGAAAGTAGTTGGAGTTTTCATTATTATGTGTCATGTAGTCGTTTCGTGATAAAGCATGTGCGTGTTCCGAATTATTATAGTATTCTTTCACAATGCCACGTGAGAGTGTAATAGCAAATTTTATATAATTATGTCCAGTCTATAAATAGATATCATTTCATGCAGCTTTTGCGGGACATCCGCTTTAGAGAGCTGTTACTCTTCTATGTAACTTTTATTTATTTTCAAGGGAACTGAGGATTTTGAAGTTAGCGTGTGCACTGTTTTCTGCATGTTTGAGTGCTCACTTGACTCGGGCCTTCCGAATATTTGGTCTTGAGTCCTTTTACATTGTTTTCAATAACTTCAATGTTGTTGCATAAGTATGTGTTGAAGGTATTTAACTGTATGATTGTGAGGAAAATTTGTGCTACCGATTCCCCGTATGTAATCAAATTTTCACACGTTAATAACACCGGATAATTTTTTGGTATTGGTTGCCACGCTGATATTGGGTCGTATGATTTGCAATGGCAAATACTCAGTAAGGTCATGTGCTTGAGTATCGTTTATTTGTCTTTCAACTCATCGGTAAGATATTAACTACAGGATGCGTTATGCGGCTAATGTTTCATGAATAGTTTTTCAGGCTTGTTTTTTTTTTTTTGAGATTTCGATAGGGTTTTCGGCTTTATAAGTCTCCGTGGAAACTCTTTAACAAAGTTTCCGGCACAATGCAAAGTTTTTTTTTAAGATTCATTTATTGATTGCCCTCAAGCTGTGTGGTTGGACACTTTATTTCCCAGGTATTCTAGTACGGTATTATATCCGGGTATTCTTGACTGAAGGGTAGTTTTTATTTTTGAACTTAAGAAATATATGAATATTTTTATTCGCTTCAAGCAAGTCAAAGGTGCATTCGAACTGTGGTCGCTAATAATTTTCCGGCATTTAAATTTATACGTTTTGTTTCTGCAACGGAAGGCATGGTACTGTCGAAACACATTCTGTTTTCAGGAGAAGCAAGCACAAATTAAAAAGAAGCGAAATATTTTACAGTCTCAGCGCGAACAAAAAGTATAATTTTAATCACTATCATCCAAATTCTGGGACGCATGCTTATGACCATGAACATTCTATGTAAAGTTGTTCACTTGCAGCGTGTAAAAGCGACAAGGTTTTTTTCATTTCCATTCAGAATTACTTAAGCGAAGGAAAAAATTTTTGAGTGCGATATATTTATTCCTTTTATTTGTAAATAGAAACTTCCAGGAAAAAAACCTGACTCTGTTATGAACTTCGTGCCAGAGGATGAGCAAAAGATCTAAAATTTTCATTGATGTCAGTTATAATTTTTTTATGTTCATAAATTTCAAAATTAAAATTTTTTTGGAGGATTTTGTTTGTAGATTTTTTTTTAGTCTTGATCACCTGAACGCTGTTTGATAGTTGATACAACTGATGTCATTATCGACTGTAAAATTCGGTGCTCAGACATTGTGAGCCCAGGAACAACTCGCTGGGGTTCTGCCCTTTCAGCCAAATGTAGCGCACGAAAATTAAAATGGTTTGTCGTACGTGAAGTGAGCAAAGACCTTCGACGTTCAGCGCTTAGTTATAAAGTTTTCCCATTTCCCATATTCGTTTATGTAACAAAAGAAACGGTTTCTTGTTTTTCAATCGAAATAACATATAGGTTCATAATAAATTATTAAATGTGTTCTATTTAGATGCAAGTTTATTTCTAGATGTAAAATTAATTGTAATTACCAATATTTATTCTATCTCGAGCATATTACTAATAACCAGAGACTGAAGTATAGGGCCAAATTGGATTATATCCAATGATCTCTATACTTGTTTTAGAACGAATTATTGTTGCAATACTAATATTAGCAAAGTACATCCTTGTACTACAAAGTAAAGAGTCGTGTGCACTCGGTAAAAATTACTGATTATTATACGAAATACTGCCAGGTACGTCGATCCGTAACTCATCTTCCAGCATACATACACGGGTATCTTGAAACAAGGGAGCAGACTCAGGAGAAGCTTAAATTAATAATTGATGAGTATGGGAGTAATTTGTGTTTCTCACGTGTGTGAAAACATTCGGGATCCACATCAAGACAATAGCATAGGTTTGGTTATTTTCTAATAAAAAGGAAGCAGAATTAACCCGTGCGTATTCCAGTCTGTAAAGAATGTAATTATGTAATATAATATAAAGAGTTTAATGTGTTATTTCCCCCACTTGAATTCATAGCCGTTTAAACACCAAAAATATTAACACCACCAACGACTTGTCTTTTCAAGATTTCATCTATGCTGCGGCTAAGAGGCGCGAGTCAAGAGATATTTATCACGTTTGAGCTACGACAAGATTATCATTGTAAATCTGTAAATGGTACCGTGACGGAAGCTACAGGATAAAAACGCGATTTAATGTTTCATGGAATAGTCCTTGGTTATTCTAATAACCAGAAAGAGTGTGCGGGAAGACGTCGTCTCTCGGTCTGAAGCAATAGCGCGTGTACACGTAGTACATGAGCTGCTTCACGCGCATTGGGTTGCCCCTCGCTACGGCGTCCAGCCATCGCTCCAGCTCAGAAGTCGAGGGCAGATGGAAGAGCCGTTGCAGCCACTTGTAGGTCTCGGGGTCTTGTTGGTAGAGCCCCATAGCCAATAGCTTTTCGCGAGCTGAAAATCTGTCGGAGATAATACGATGTTTCGATTATAGTTCCGGAATAAATCGGAAAAATCGATGCGAGAAATTGGAATATAATTCGTGGTACATAGATAAACGGGAGAAATAACATAGTAATGAATAAGAATACTTATAATTTTTTAGACCTAAAATTGAGTGATGCACGAAACATTGTAACGAGACCCATCGATGAAAGCAATCTAGTTATTCGGATCAAAAGCCACAAATACTTAAATTCAATGAATGAAATGAAATTATGTTTAATCAACTTTTTTACAGTGTTGATAATCTACTAAGAAAATGCACAGCAGTATCATGAAATTTCTAACTGAATTCACATTTAGAAATTTAACCGCATTAGACATTTCGTACAAAGAAAAGTAACGGCATTTGGCCTCCCCCTGCTGCTTCACACTCATAAATATTCATCAATTCAATGCAATTCAGTATGGACGAGACATTTAAGATTAACGTGTGACTCCCTCGCCCAACGTGTACCTCCTTATGCAAAAAAATAAAACTCAGTACTCACTGCAGTGAGTGACAAGAGAGCGCATTTTCTCGTCGACGAAAACGTTAAGTCGCGGACGGACAGACAGACGGACGGACATGGCGAGCACAAAAGGGCATTTTTCCATAAATGAGAAAATGCGCTAAAAATACCAACGCAACAGCCTCTACAAGCCTGACCTGGCCCCTTGAGTGGAGTCGCATCCTGCCTTCAGCTGCATGGTGAAGAAGACCATCTGATCCTGCGTGAGGAAGCGCGATGACGCCGCCACGAGGTCTGCGATGGTCTGCAGTTGTGGTCTGGTGGCGAGACGGCGAGCGAGTTGCAGGTAGCGCCTACGAAGCACTTTTACTTGCTCCTTGTACTTCCTGCCATGATAGGAGATTGTCAATACTATGAATTTGGTTAACCCTTGTCGGACTGCGTAGGTAGAATGAATGATACGTACACTAGGTTCGAGGGCTAAGAACTTCTCAAATCAGGAACTCTACTTTTATTTAGAAAATCTTAGCTAAACACACAGCAATTTGAAAGAAATAAAAATTTAAAGCAGACGAATAAAATGATTTGAAAATCCTGATTACTTGCCGATTCTACGAATACGAGTGGCCACTAAATTATAAAGCCTACCAAAATTTTAAGAAATAATCCAAAAACGTCATCGAAACTATTTTAGACTAAATCTATACATCAGTCAATCTATATATAGAGTAATAGAGAAATAAAACAATACAAACAAATAATATGAAAACCTTGCAAAACTACGTTAAACTCGCAAAATACCGCAGCAACATATTGAATAATAAAAATACTAAAAGGCTCAAACCATAACAATTTTTCTTATCAACTAGGATAATCATGAGAAGTCCGTTTCCAACAACATCACCCACCTAAGAGACACGTTCTTTGCTAGGAGTTGTTCAACGAGGTCAGGGTCTGACATGAGAAGAGTTTTGTCCTCAACCTCCTGAAAATAAAAATTCCGTGAGGGGAAAAAAATTCAAAATATTTACATCCACGAACTCTTAGCTACGTGGATGCAGTGTGTGAATATGGGGCGTATCACAGCAATCAATTTTGCCGGAAATGAAACATTTCATCGGGATAAAAAAGTGGACTGGCCTTCGTCCTTGGAATGCAAGTGTCAGAAATCGCAAATTATAAATAAAATTAATAAAGACTTGCGCCTAGAAGCAAATAAATACCTTCTGCTTAGCATAGCCAGGTGAGGTGCTGAAGGCTGTCACTAGCAAGGGAGTGACTGTGGTGCTCTGCTCGACCGAAGTATCAATGGTGTACACAGGGCACTGCATGCCGTTCCAGGTGCGTCGCTTGCCGCTGCTGCGAATGCACATCACCGTCTTGCTGTCATTCCCCACACGTCCCGTCATGAAGAAGTTCTCTGGAATCGAGAGCTCGCCCGTAGACGAATCGGGAGTCTCAAAATCGGGATCAGAATACGCAAGTTGACGCATTCTCTCTTCTTCACCAAGATCATTTTCGTTCTCATCTTCATCTGACTCATCACTAAGTCCACCAAATATTGACTTGTGAAGTTGTTCAAAAAGAAGATTCATGTTTTTGGATAGGTCATCGCCTTTTCGAGGTGCTAATTCAGCCAGACTATCCTTTAAATCTGCAATGATTTGGTCTCCATCATCATCTTCCGAACTATTAAAGTCTGACAGATAATCATGAACCCTTCGCTTCTTAGGTCTTCTAGCTAGTTTTTGGTGTAGCATCTTTTGCTGCGCGGTTTGCAGATTCTGCAATTGCTTTGGAGTAAGCTTTTTTCCAGTGAGCGCGGGCGGCATGCTCTTGGGGTGCAGCCTGCCACCACCCCGCCCAGCAGCCCCACCACGCTTCCTCATAATAGAGTTTTTGTGGTACTTTGCTTTTGATGGCGAAGCTTCTTCAGACATCACTTCTGAAATCTTCCTCTTCCGTGGGCTCTCTTCAGACTCAACAGGAGTTGTTTCTTGAGCTTTCTGCGTGTCTTTGCGGAGCTCTTTCAGGGCTTCAGAACTGATACGAAAAGACCCTGTTGGGAGCTTTTCCATTTTTCCCTCCTTCAACAACTTTTGCAAAGTTTGTGTGGACAACTGCATCCTCAAAAGCTTTTTGGCACTTTCTTGATTTTGCTCTTCATCATTGCCAGTGGCTTCTCCATCCCCTACATCATTCTTCTCTCCTCTAGCCTCAGGAGTTTCTTCTTGATTTTTGGAAGTGTCAGGTGACTCAGAGTCTGCAGCCTCTTCTTGATCACCTGCAGTGCCATCAGTAGCACCAGATCTGTCTAGTTCACCAGAGTCATCTTCAACCACTTCATTAATTTCTTCATCTGCATTGATTTCATCATCACCTTGAACACCAACTGTAGCTGAAATACATCATTCATTCTTTCAATAACATGACATGTTTCCTACCCAAGATGTGTCATCAAAATATAAGAATACTTACGATTTACATTTCAAGGCTAGTTGACATAGAAGGCTTTCAATTTACTGATGTTAGATTGCATGAACTTGTATCATCCAAAGTCTGTATTCTAACATTGGTAGTTATATCCTACGCCATTTTTTAGGTGAACATTAATTCAATTTGATAATAGTGAGGCTATGAACTGGTGAAGCCACAAATTTATTCAATAATAATCTCATTCAATGCTGACATACCTTCACAAGCAACATCCAAGGGCTCTTGATCTTCTTCTACTGAAGCCATTATCCTAAAAAATTATTTTCATGGAGCAAAAAAAAAAATTGTTTTTACAATGGAGAGAAAGTTTTAAATTTTGTGGCACCTGAAATAGATTTAAAAATGAATACAACGCCTCATATTTAGTATCAATTTGTAAATTAAAATTTGAATTGAAATTAAAGTTAAATGAATATTTTCTAGTGTATTGACTTAATTTTAATTACAATTAATGACACACAAGTTGCTGAAACTGCATGTACCTTGCCTCTCATCACTAAAAACCATATACCATCAAAAAGGGTGATAAGGGACAATTTTTTTTTTTGCAGATAACTTCTTACCATGAAACATTTCACAAACGAGTTTGGGCTCATTTTACATGTTTTGTATGTCATACAATAGCAAACATGTTTGCTATTGTATGACATCTTCAAAAAATTCCATTTGCTATTTGTAAGTTGCCAGAAGCAAAAAAAAAAAATGTCCAGAATTACCCTTGGGAATGGGGTAATCCAGGACACTTGAAATAAAACTTAACTTCAAAAAGTTTGAAGCATGCAGAGTGCACTCATCTTTTACTAACAGTACTTCGAAGACCTCCTTTTCATTTGTAGATGATGTAGATGCAGAATAAATGACATTTGCTGTGATTTGTACTATATTCGTTTTCCCTTTATTGTTGATATTACCATATCCATTTTTCATTGACAAAATTATTTTTTCCATTCTATATCTAACACTTTAAACCCCTGCAACCTTGTCCACTGCAAGCTTCATATCAGCAGACATATAGCATTTCCTCCATAAGCTTTCACCATTTTAATTAGGTCAAGTGAATTCATTCACTATAACAAAAAAATCATAAAAGACATAGTACCTGAAACAGAAAGAAATATTTTAGTGACAATCATCATATTTTTTGGAGAAATAAATCATATTTTACGTTAATTATATATACTCTTCATTCTATGTTGCTCGGTGAACAATTCTATACATGAAATTTTGTACACAATTTTGTGATGACCAAGGAAGCATTAATTTTTTTATGTGAAGTTTTTTTGCTGAGATAGGTAAATTTAGTCAAAATTCTTTGTTGTTAACCAATTTGTTTTTGTTAACCAGAGCCTTTGCTAACCAAGGTTTTATGGTGTAGGTATGCGTTTTAGAGGTGTCCCGGGGTGTACATTATATAAAGCGTCTCTCCTTAATACTCCATCTTGCAGAAATGACTGACATTTTGGTTTGGGTTGAGGTACGCAAATTCTGTTAATCAAATTTTAGGGCAACACCTGTCAAATATTTTGAGAGGCTGAGAGCAAAATTTTTTAATGCAGCAATTTTTTTTATTACAGACCTTAGAAGAAGTATATTTCCAAAATATCATTTTCAGCGCATGTTCTCATTTATGGAAAAAATGCACAATTGTGCTCGCCATGTCCGTCTGTCTGTCTGTCCATCTGTCCATGACCTCAAATTTTTGTCAATGAGAAAATGCGCTCTCTGTCACTCACTGCAGTGAGTACTGAGTTATATTTTTTAATCAATTTTTTCAGGGGATTTTTCAGAGCTAATAAATCTATGACTTCTTATGCTACATAGATAGGAAAAATGTTGAAGTTTACACCACTATTTTAAGTTTTGCAATATTTTAATTAGTTTAACTGCTATAACATTTTTAAACCATGATGGAGGACTGTGTTGATATACCCCACCCATCCCTTATTACCCGTTTGATGGTAGGGTTAACACACCATATTCCGATGTACCTACCAAGAAATGAATGGCTATAAAAAGATCACCGTATGCGCAACTCAAGTTCTGATAACTTCACGTCACTCTCAAAATACCACACTGCATGCAATACTGTTGAAACAATGAAACGTCACATACTGTTGCCATATTTATTTAAAAGCCTTCAGAATTCAAATCTACAAAATCCCTGAATTCCGATGCTGTGTGTGACTAAATTCGGCATATTGTGAGACTAATTTTGACAGCGCTTCAAACTCTTACTAATCCGTAATTCCGACACCCTGTGTTGGAATTCCGATGTCCTGTGTGAGCTGTATCGGAATACAACACAGCTTGGAACAAGCTTAATTAAAAAATGTTAATTTTTTAATTAAGCTTTTAATTAGGAAAATTTTAATTTTTGAACACAGCTCGGAACAAGCTGTGTGTGTCAAATTCCAAGCTGTGTCAGAATTAGTTTTTATGTGTCTAAAACCGTCTCTTAACTTAATAATCTTTTAATTTATTTACTATTTGAAATCAGCAAACACAAGTATACTCAAACTCTTAAAGGATTCCTAATATATTCACAGACTTATTTAAAAGTCTCAAACCATAATGATCTTTCTACACAAACACAATATCACTATTTGGTAGAGCAAAGTCAACTATCAGATTTGACACGTGTTTCGATGTTCTCACTGGGTGATGTGCAACTGTCGCACCGAAAGCTCTAGTCATGGCCCTGGAGGGAGATGTTTTCCACACTTGCTGCAGACACTAACAGTGCTCTTAGCCTCTTTTCTTGCACCTGCTGCACAGTGCTGCTGCTTGTGGCCCAGGATTGCAAGCGCTGAGGATCTTAACATTTTCCCACCAGATGGCCCAGACCTAGTGTTTTGCGTAAATCTGGCAGACTGGCGGGCAAAAGTATTAGTATGACGTCACTATTTCAACCATCTATGCATGCCGGCATGCGTGGAACTAAAACAAAGCTTAATATAAAAGGAAACAGTTGAGAAGTGTTGGAACTTGGAATTACCCAAGATGTCAGAATATGGTGCATTTGCCCTAATGCTAGTCAAAACTACAATTTGTTATTTGTTGGGTTTGATAACCGCATGATAACTATTTAATACAAAGCTGTTTTGATCATGCTAGAAAGATTTGGTTCCATTTTGTTAACAATATAGATTGTATTTGTATCTATTGAAGGCCAGCAACTTTAGTGACGCTACATTTCATGCTAGGCTTAGATAGCAAGATAACCCAGATTTCATCCTTTGACAACATATTCATTGCAAAAATTTGTCAGTTAGCCTATGGTCCTTACGGACTTACAGATACCAGGATACATGACTTGTGAATGTAATTAAGTAAGGCATTGCCAAGTTGCCAACCCGACATTGGATTCAGAACCACAAGTGATATTGGAACAACGGCAGTTTCTGATTAGCAGGGCCCCAGTGATTAGGCTAGCTCCATAGTGGCAAACAGAGATTTTCAACAATCAGTTCATCTTTAATTCCATCATTTACCTACTCAAAATTTAAACTAATATCTTATATATGATAATGCTGGTATCCATGATACTTTGCTGGTCTACTTATAAGACTCAAAATTGAACTTTAAGTCTAAATAGGGTAAACGCGGTATATTCCGTCACATTAAGGACGCATTGAGAAATGAAAAACTATAAAAAAATAACCGTATGCGTTACTCAAGTTCTGTTTGCTTTAGGTAACTCTCAAAACACCGTAGTACGCTTTGGCAATGATGAAACATCACAAAATGTTGCCATATTTATGTAAAAGCCTTTAGAATGCAAACCTACCAAATCCCTATATTCCGTCACTGTGTGTGGCAATATTGGGCACGTGGTGAGGCGTATTCTGTCCGCGCTTCAAATTCTACTGATACGTAATGCCGTCATCCACGTGTTTGAATTACGTTCGCTGTGTGAGATGTATTGGAATACAACACGGCTTCGAATTAGAACACTAATGAATATTGAACACTACTTAATTACCGGTACGCTTTTAATTGACAACTATTAAGCTTTTAATTAAGCAAATTTTAATTTTTGTACATAGCTTCGAACGATCTGTGTGTGTCCAATTCAAGTTGTGACGGAATTAGTGTTCATGTGTCTAAATCCATTTCTCAACCTAATCATCTATTAATTTATTTACCACTTGAAATCAGCGAATACAAGTATACTTAAAGGATTTCTAATATATTCACAGACATATTTAAAAGTCTCAAACCATAATATTCTTCCTATACAAACAGTTATTCACTATTTGGTAGAGCAAGGTCAACTGTCAAATTTGACACATTTTTCGATGATCTCACTGGGTAGCGTGCAATCCGTGCATTGTCTCTCTTTGGATCTCAATATTTTCCCGCTAGATGGCCAAGACCTAGTGTTTTGGTATTAGTTCGACGTGCAAATGTATGACGTCACCATTTCAACCATCAACAAACGCATGGAACTAAAACAAAGCTTAATATAAAGGAAAAACTAGAGAGGTGACGGAATTACCCACGATGACAGAACATACCGCGTTTACCCTAACTCACTGCTTTGCCACTATGGCCTAGCTCAAGTGTATCAATTGTCATTGTGGTGGACTGGAATATGGAACTGGAAGGTGTAATGTAATAGGCTTTTCAATCCATTTTCTTATATAAATGTGAGTGAGAACATACTACCTATCCAGAATTCCACACACACACAGCCTCACAGGTCACTTCTGCCTCTTCCAGTAAATAATCTATTTACCAGAACAGAGAACCACCATTCCATTCCTAAACTTTAATCCTGCAGAGAGCAGAGTGCAGACTGCAGAGCAGCCAATTTAGAATAAGGCCTATCTCAGTTTAAACTGTTTAATTGAGCAGAAGATTCCTAAAATTATGGGAAAAACAGGTAATTTATGGAAAGTGCAGCCAAAAATAGTTTTTCTCATTTTCCATTGAAGAAATTATAAAAAATATACAGGAACTGGAGAAATTGAACAGATGCACTGACAATTTTGTCAAATTCATGGGTGGCATACTGGCATCTGCCCCCATAATCCCATTTTCCAATTCCAAGCAGACCAGCTGGAGCTGCAAGCAATTAGACTGCTAACGTGTCAAGACTGGCACTGGCCATAAAATCCCAAGGCAATAACTTATCATATGTAGTCTGTAGCGTATGGTATGAGCATGATCAGCCTCTAGTCTGGAAAAGTCCTATTTTTGTCTTAAATATCGCGGCTCTAATATCATATAATTTCAGTAGGTATGAAATCTCGCGGCTC